ATCATTTTAAGCTATTTCCAGATAACTTTCAGGATCTTCCGAACCTACATATTAATCGGCATATAGTCGATCATGCATGCCAATATTCAACATGCATTGATTTAATACGGTTTGTAAAGTATTAGCGATACTTTTTCAAAAACTAATTCATTAACTTTTACTAAATAATGTCACAAAAAAAAAAGTCTAAAAAGCATTGTTTAACTGAATATATTAAAGTTTTAAAAGAAAAGTCTAATGATTATAATTGCTTTGCAATCTGTATTGCATATAGAGAAGCTAAAGGTTACGAATATGCATATTCAAAAAAATTTGTTAACACAAAAAAGCTTGTTAAATTACATTTAAAAAACTGTGTATTTTAAAAATAATAAAGGAGAAGATGAGGTTACAAAAATATTAAATGATACAGACACTGAAAAATTAAGAAAGCGCAAACATATATGTAAATATATATAAATAATATTAAATAATATATTTAAATGTAAATTAACTAAATATGATTTCTATTTAGCCGATAATAAATCTGATGAGCAAACCCAAGATAAATCTGACAATGTTAACAAAGGGCCATTAGATCTTCATATTGTACGTAAGATTTCTAAAACAAACAAACCAAAGTTCGATTATTTAATTTTAAAAATGATAGTAGCAATGGGTAGAGCTTTAGATGGGTTAAAAATCCAGAGTCGCAAGCTACTTTTAAATTTCTCAACCCAAAAATTACACTTCCTACTCGCAAACAACTAAGTGGAAAAATCTTGACTGAAGCGACTGTTGAATTTATGTCTAAAATCGAAAAAAAAGCACAAAAAGATAAAGTTGGAATTACTGTAATATTGGATAGTTGGACAAATGTAATTAAACAAAGCTTATTAAGAAGTGTTTTAATTACTTCTTCCAGTGAACCTTTAATATGGAAAGCTTAAGATATTAGTACTAAAAGATCATGTGCTAGTGAAGTTATTTTAAAAATTGAAGAATTGTTTAATGATTTGAAATCTAAAGAGATTAAAGCTATAGCTTTGGTGACTGATAGTGTGGCAGCCTATGCTGCAGCAAGGTATTATTTTATTTTAGTTGTTTTTAAATAAAACAGTAATTAATTTATATTATATTGTAGAAAAGAATTGCAAATAAAATATACGAATAAAATTTTTTTGCCATGTTTCGCTCATCAGTTAAATTTATGTATCGAAGAGATCTTTAAGAAATCACCAGCATTCAAACAGGCAATAAATAATGCAGTTACTGTAGCAACATATTTTGGAAATGTAAATCATACATATTTTATTGGAAAATTGCGAGAGCAACAAGAGATCTTGTATCATAAATATGTGTCACTTATTAAACCAGATGTAATACAATAGAATTCCTATTTTTATTGTTTAGAAAGTCTCTTAAAAACAAAAGAAGCTCTTAAGGTAATTAATATAATTAATTTTATAGCAATATCCCTATAAAAAAATTTTATCCAAATATTTCTATTATTACTCTGGCCTCTGTAAAATTTTCATGAAAATAATACATTTACGGATATCCTTATTAGGGAGATAAAATTTTCATATGTTAAGGTATAAATTCCATAAAAATGAAATATTTATGAAAAAAATATGGAATAATAAACATGGATCAATATTTTTTATAGGTATTCTATATGATCATTAAATAATTTTTATATAACTTATTCGGGTTCTTTCTAGTATAATAAACAAAGTTTTATTTACCTCTTGTGAGGTAAATGAATATTAAGTAACCAAATAAATTATATTGAATATATCTGATATCTGATTTTTCATAGCAAATTTTTAGTGAATAATCAGGTATTATTTATGATACAATTATTAAAAATTTTTTTTTAATCAGACATTAGTTGCAAGATATAAGCCCTGTGAACATGATTCAAGTGAAGAATTATCTGATCTTCCAAATACTTCTGATTTAAAACTACCAGATCAAATTTGCAATATTATTAATGATGACAATTGGTGGCGACAAATAAAAAGCATGAAATTTTTATTATTTCCTTACTGTGCTTGTCTTAATTTATTGCAATGTAACAAAGTACAGCTTTTTGAGGTATTGCATTCTTTTGGCTATTTAGCTAAAATAATTAAAGAATATTATGATACCCACCTTAGTTTGTAGCTTTTAAATCATTTAGAAAAATGATGGAACTCCTGGAAACAGCCGCTATTAATATTGTCATTTATTCTTCATCCATTATATTAAATAGAGAAATTCAATTCTGATTTAGAAACTCTAACATGGGTTAACATAGATGAATATATTCAATATTATTATTTTGTTTGGTTTTATAAAAAAACCTAATTCAATTCTACAAGAGCTTGAACTTTTTCGTCAAAATCAATCACCATTTAATACTAAAACCTCAAAACAATTTGGCAACGATGTTATTAGATATTGAAATTATTGTGCATCATATGCTAAAGAACTAGGTCAGATGGCATTGCAAATTCATGGAATTTGTGTAAATGCAGCCTCTGTTAAACGTCTTTGGTCTTCAATGGGATTTATCCATTCTAGTCAGCATAATAAACTATTAGTAAAAAATTTTTTTATAAGTTGTATATCTAATTCAGATAAAACAATTAAAATAAAAATCTTGTCTGATTTATATTACTACTATATTTAGATTTGATATACAAACTTTATATCTTTTTATATACAAATTACTTTAGTTATATCGACATTTTTTGAAGTTGTTATATCCAGATGTTGGTATAACCAGAATTATGTATATTTATATTATATATAATAAATTAATTAAATCAATTTTCAGTTTCAGAAAGCATTGGCAATTAGTCAATTATGTGGAATACTTACTCAAAACCGCTGAATTCAAGAATTGGATCAACTTAAAAAACTTTATGAATCAACCTCTACAACCTTTTATTAGATTATTCTGAAGACATGTCAGATGCTTCTTCAACTAATAATAAAAACTGCAGTATAGAAATTGATAATGATAATGTTGCAACTGATGATAATTTCGAAGATGATTTATTAGATCTAGGGTCAACAAATATAAATGAATCACTAGCAAATAAAGAGCATCCAGTAAAAGACCGTAAAGCCAAGTGGCAGTTAAATAATTTGTTTTTAGCTGACTTGGAAGCTTCCTTTTTTGCAACTGATATTTAGTGGCAAATAATTTTTAAACTAGAAATTTATATATTATGGTAACCAACTCAGTTTTTTTTGTTATTATGATTTGCAAAATTATATGAAATTTGATTATTAAAAACAGTAATCACTAATTTCTGATTACTGATTTCTGATTTTTTCAATATTTTTTTTGACTTTTAAACTAGACAAAATTTGCGTATTTATTAAAAATTTTCTATTACTGCGAATATATTACAAAATAATGAATATGCAACTTTTATTTCTATAAAAAATAATAGATGCGCAAATTTTGTTTAATCTAAAGTCAAAAAAATGGTGAAGAAATCAGAAATCAGTAATCAGAAATTATTGATTACTTTTTCAAATAATTCTGCAATTCGCAATAATTTAAAATATATATTATTAATTTTTTCTGATAATTATAAATCAAATATTAATCATTCATACTATTTTCAATCTTTTTTTTTAGTATTTATAATAAATATATATAATTTTCGAACAGAACGAATATATTAATTTTCTTTTTTTAATCTTAACAGTCATATAACTTATTGTTATTGACAAGAATTATTATTATTATTAAGAAAAAATAAATATATATATTTGAATTTTTATCTCTATGTTTCAAAATACTATGAGAACTTTATAATATTGTACTACGTATTTTAGGAAGAAGAAAGGAAATATACATTCATATATTACGTTATTCATTTTGTGATACATGAATTTCTAAAGTACAATATGCTAATCAAAATAGAGTTATCGCAAATATAAGGTATAATAGTTTAAGGGTAGAGTGTATGTCGATCATTTATCATATGATCTCAGTGGTACAACGGGATTTTATGCATAAATTAAAAT